TGGTACTTGCTGTTGTCCTTACTCATAAGCCTTTCTGTTGGTAAGTAAACAGTAACAAGTTTATCCAGTATTCCTTGACCATGTTGCACGCTCAGAGCATGTGAAGAAAAACTGCAGCTTCTGAACTCACCTCATGAACGACATCATAGACTGCATGAAATTCCTGACATACACAGTGACCCAAATAAGGATCTATTTTGCAAGTCTGAGGAAGTTTCTGGAAATTTGGATGAGAAGAAAAAAGGTAGCATGCCCTTTTAGGCATAGGACATTTTTGTTTTGTTGTTTTTCCTATGGTCTTAATCTTTTGGTATTGGCCATATAGATATGCATGTATAGGCAGGCAGGCAGGTAGGGGTGCGTATATGTGTATGTTCGTATGCACATGTACTTTTTTATGTATCTTTTGTGCTAATTAGAGTTGTTTCTTTCCATGCATTCTACAGGAATGGAGCTATCTGTAAATAATATCGATACAGATAAAATATGGCACTATCAAGACCCACTTGGGAATATTCAAGGGCCATTTGCCATGGCAACGTTACGAGTATGGAGCTGTAGTGGTCATTTCCCTCCTGATTTGAGAATATGGAGGGTAAGTGAAAAGCAAGGGGACTCTGTTCTCTTAACTGATTCTTTGGTTGGGCGGTACAGCCAAGCACATCAATTGTTTCATAATAGTGTCATGCCAACTAAGGATGTAAGTATACCCACCGAGGATGGGTTTCAGAACAGGGATGTAGATATTAAGGAGAGTAGGGATACTAAGGAGAACCAGATGGAAAGTAAACAAGTTGAGGGAAGCTTGAACCCAGTGCAGAATGATACAAGTGATCATTGTCGCGGTAACAGTGACTCTGCGAAGAGCAAAGAAGTGGGCTCTCGATCTTCAACTTGTATTGCTTCTGTAGATATTATCAATTTGAATGCAACAGAGGCTGGAAGTCCTTTACCACAGTGGGACTCCATGAAGGGTGATAGTTACTTCCCTGGCCAGCCCCAGGTGAGTAGTTCGCTTCCCACATCAACATTATCTGCGAAACCATGTGAAGCTCAGTCTCCTCAAGTTGGCAAAGGTCATGGGTTTGAAAGATGGGACTGTGGTTCGATCGACATGAATGTGAATTTGAGCAAGATCGAAGGTCAAATTATTGATGGAAATGTGAAGCAAAATAATGAGGAGGGAAATTCAGGCAAATCTTCTGTGCAATGCTGGAGAGCTCCACCTTTGAATAATGCTTCAAATGGATGGGATTCCAACTCTGGTCTTCTTTATCTTGCTAGGGCTCTTGAAGTATCAGAGCGCAATCAGGATATTGATTTCCCAGATCTTCCTACCACAACATCGAAGTTGAACCAAGAAGAGTCAAAAGGTCAGGCTGCTAAAAGCAAACAATCTCTTTCTCCAAATGTTGCTCATCTGGATTCAGGTCCTAGCTGGAGCACTACTTCGAGTATAGTGTGTAATGGACCACAGCTTCCTGGAGTAACTGGTGAATGGGGAGGATATTCTTCCAATCCAGCAAGACCTTCTACAGGGGAGTGGAACCCTGATTTGTTCCCAAGTCTACTATGAGACCATCCGACTTGGGAAATGATCATGATGCTACTCCTGCTTCAGGAAGTGGTCAATTAACGCATTCTTCTCCCGCAGATCCTGCAAATAATGAATCTGGATGGGATCCAATTGTTCCAGAACCCAATGAGTATTCTTTGGGCGATGAATCAGTTTCAGATCTCTTGGCCGAAGTTGAAGCGATGGAGTCACTTAATGGCTTGGCTTCACCTACAATTTTGCGTTGTGATGGGGACTTGGCTCAAGGTTCCGAACCTGATTGTTTTAGTCCTGTAGGAGGACTGAGCCCTGCACCTGATCCTGGAAAAAGCGATGCTTTGAGTTCAACGAATGATCTACAAATGCCATCTCTGTTGGCTTTGACCAATGAGTTATTTGGGATTACTAAGTCTGAAGACGCTCAAAAGAGTTCCGGCGGACATTCTTCCACGAGTGCTGAAATGGATGAAGATACAAGGCCCAGCGATGTCTCGGTTAACCAATACGAAACTGGTTCAGACTTGCAGCCTCCTGCACCACCAGCAACAACTTGGAGCATGGCTACCGTGAGTGATGCTTGGAGAGCGGGGCCAGAAACTACTAGCACCAATTGGGGAGCAGTTCAAGGAAATGCAAATTTTCATTGGGAAGGTTTAGGTCAAGAAACTACAAACTTTAGTTGGGGACCAGGTCACGGAGTGATCCAGGAAAATGGCAGCAGCATCCATTCAAGCACTTCTACAGGAAATCCAGCCTATTTGGGAAGCCACCAGAGGTATGTTGATCCCAGGGATCAACAGAGGAATGCAGATCCCAGGGACCAACAGAGGTATGTTGATCCCAGAGATCAACAGAGGAATGCAGATCCCAGGGACCCACAGAGACATGCCGATCCCAGGGACCTACAGAGACATGCTGATCCTAGGGACCAACAGAGGCATGTTGATCCAAGAGGCCATGATTTTCAGGGCAGAGATTCAAGTTTTGTTAGAGGCAGGCCCCCATGGAATAGGCACTCGTCATACAGTGGTGGCCCTCCGAACAGAATTGGTTCTTTCAGATCTCCGCCCAAAGGACAGCGGATCTGTAAGTTTTACGAGAGCGGTTATTGCAACCGGGGAGCATCATGTAGTTATTGGCACCCTTGAATGAGTTACTAGTTTACCATAACAATTGTGTGCATTTAATTCTGTATTCATTGTTTGTAATAGTAATTTGACCGCTTCTCTCAATTTAACTTGTAAGCTGTAACAGTACATTCAAGTCGAGGATAAAACATATTATTATGATAATTATTCTTCTCTGGATATATAGCTTACCCTTCGATAGACTTGATGAGATATATATAGCTTATCTATGATAGACTTTGCATGTAGGAAATTGAGTCCTCGATGGGAAACTCACGTGTTAAAGTTAGGTGTGTCACGAGTAGATCCGAATTAATTTGGGTAAAGTGTTGGGGAAATAGGAGTAAATCTGGATTAATTATGATAAAAAATTGGAAAAATGGGAGTAGATCCGGATTAATTACGGCAAAGTGTTGGGAAAATGGAAAGGTAATAAAAAAGATACTATCAATTTATGTATTTGTAGAAACAAGGGTAAAATACATGTATAATTACTATATTATAGGGTAAGTTTTATTTTGACCATTGAATTAAAAAAAAAAATCTTAATCATGTCATTTAATTATTTAAAAGATATAATTATGTTATTGACCATTAACTTTTAACGATAATGTTGGTGACACAATTAAATAAATTTATATAATTATTCATTTGGTTATTTATTATTTATACATATTATCAGTTTGAATTAAATTTTCATTAAGATAATTTAATAATCTTCCAATAAGATAATAATTTTAATTAAAATTATAAGATTGTGTCACAAGTCACCATCTTATTAGATGACTTTTAAATTAATTATAATTAAAATTTATCAGTCACCATTCTCATTAAAAGTTATTTCTTTTATAAATTGAGGTGAATATAACGTAATATTTATTAAAAAACTCTTAACTATCTAAAAATATATGCGGTACTCAAACCTGAAATTTCAAGGATAACAGCATTAAAAGTTAATGTTGAGTTTAAATAACTAAGTGACATGATTAAAATCTTTTTTTTATTTAGTGTTCAACATACAAGTTATCTTATAATTTAATGAGTATACATGTAGTTTATCTTAAAATTAATTATATTTATTTAATATTAAAAATAGATTAATATATCTATTAATTTTATAATGATTGGACAAAGTTAAAGTTTTATTTTTTTATAACCATCAATATTCAATCTATTGATCGACTAATCCAGATCGGATACTGCAGTGGCAAGGACGACATTCCCAACCCTATTTACTCCATTCACAATCTCTAGGATTTGAACCTTAACCTTGCTTAAGGGATCTAGTGTGTTATCCCACTAGACTAACTTGTTGTTGGTATTAAAGTTTTATTTGTTCAATTAAATCCAACAATCTTTTCCATCACAAAAGTATCATTTTTCTAACTTATTAGTTTGAGTCAATAATCACATTTTAAACGTATATTTTTAGCTAAAAACGAGTTTTAAAAAAGGTTTTAGGTTTCAAATGAAATTTTAGGCCATAAACACTTGCACAAATATTCTCAAAACGCACCCAAAGGTTAGATGATTTTATCTGTTGTCCCTTCAATTTTCGGAGAAGACAGAGGATGTGAACCTCATCATAATAAGCTTCGAATAAAATTCTTAAACTGTAGCCATTTCAAGTTTTGTGTAACTGTAGCTAAGCCGAGCTGAAAGGAATAGCAGCATTGCTATACTATACTAGAAATATTGTATTTAAGTTTATATATAAATTGTCAACAATTTCTAGAATATATTCGAAGTTAAAAGCTTTTAGTTGACATTTATCTTTTCTTTTAAATCGTAGGTTCAGTAATTATTACGAGGAAAAAAATCGAAAAAAAATATAATTTTAGCTTTATTTGAGATTTTGGGGAGGAGAATGCAATATGCAAACATCCTAAATTTAAAAAAGAGGAGAGCCCATACCATATAATTATTTGTAATGGAAAGTGGATGGAAGTGATGAGAGGTTAATTAATTTCCACCCCCAACAATTATGAGGGAGATGGGTTGGGGTACTTTCTTTTTACTAAATACAATACTTCCTTTAAAACATAACAATGGAAGTTGGAGCTGGATGGTGGCTGCACAATCGGGAAATGCCTCAAGGGTGGTCGTTTCTCGCTCAACTTTTCACTTCATTCAAGGCTTCAACGGTGAATGCGAGCCCAAATTAGGGATGGAGCCATCCTTGCAACATACTACTAGCAAGTCAATCTAAACCCATATTTGTTTCAAGCTTTATCAGGATTAGAATGGTGGCAAGTGCCTCATTCATTTATTTTGTTTATAAAAACTAAAGTTTCAAGACTGCTAAATATCAGCGACAATAGAGTAAATATAAAAGGTTCATAAGATGCCAATACAATACAACCAAGTCAAGGTACATGCAAGTTTATATTTTACATCAAAATACAACACACTTTCACTTATCTTAGAATGAGAATGACACAAGGCACACTGAAAATCTCGCTACTTCCAGTCGCCAGCAGACGATAAATTATTCAACTTTCCAACACACACACATATATACTGATAAAAGAGCTGTAGACTAAATATAATCTAAAATTATGGACAATGTGTCCTCAGAGAACCTCTCTATAGTACTAAATTATGGTTGGATATGATCCAGGTATCACGGTTTCGGATGGTGCGGCAGTTATGACGCTTTACTTTCTAAAAATAACTATATTTCTAAGTTGCAGATACAGTTGTGATACTGCGGTGATCTTAAAATCCGTTATGATCCGATCACCACCGGTATTTAGTACTAATGGAACCACCATATCAAGCAAGGCGCAGATCATTAGTGCCGTGCTGAAGAATAAGATGAGGTTGGTGGTTTTGGTACAGCCGAAGAGCATATAAGTTATTAGAGGATCCATTGGCTGCAACTCCCATGGCTGATTCATAATATCCTCCGTTTTCAACTATTTCGTCCTGACGCTCAAGCTTTGCCTCCTTATGAACAAAAGAGAGAGAGTTACTACTGGATAAGATTAAGAAAGAAAATTTCGAATCAAGTTTCAATCCAAAGGTTCTGACCAAGTTCAGCACAATATTTGCATGTCTTTCCTCCAAATTCCTTACCTGCAGCCAGTAGAGGTCTAAACTTGAGCAGCAACTCCAAGATTTGAATCAAATAAAGCCATAAAAAAAAAGTGATTCAGTTCACTAACCTTCTTCTTATGTTTATCTGTTTGCGTTTTAATGGCATAGTACTGTGAACAATCAACTGATATTTGTTAGTTCCATGACTTGATTTATAACCCACAAACTTGAGTTAAAAAACATTAGCAGAAGAGTCTTTTAATCAATTAGAAGAATGATGAATTATATAATATAATAAACCCTTTTGGTACAGCAAAAAGTCCAATAATTTCAAACCTTTCTCTCTCGTATAGCCAACAAGGCAGAATCCATTTTAGCCTCAAGAGCTTGCAGTTCCTTGATGTTAAGTTCACTCAAATCCCCACCCATCCGCTGCCTTCTAAAACCAATCCCCAATAAAAAAAACGAATCTTTTTTTATTGATAAATAACCATAGGTTTTGTATATATCAGGAAAGCTCTAAAATTTCTTTACCTGATCTCTCTTCTCAGCTTCTTGTTTATCTCCTTCAACCTCCTGTAATTTTCTTGCATTCTCTGCCAAAATATTAAAAAAGCACAACTAAAAGAGACAAAAAAAAATGGTCCATAAAGCTTGAACATTGAAGAGAGAAAAATTGTTAACCTCGTAGTGGGAGTTCCATAGGTCAATCCCTGAAGTCTTTTGATATAGATCGAAAAATCCTTTTGTCCTAATACAAAACAACACAAAACCCATATCATATATATATATCATATGTATATGTTTGTTTAAATTCATGGGGAGAAAAAAAGGGTAGTGAAAGATGATAATACGTGATATTAGGACTAAGGAACTCTTGGAATTTGCCAGTGCTGGAGAACATGATCAAGGAAACCTTAGCATCACATAGAACAGTAAGCTCTTGAGCTTTCTTGAAAAGACCGTTCCTTCGCTTGGAATAGGTAACCTGCCTATTTGTAGCGTTCTCGATCTTCTTGATCTCGATCTTTCCACGACCCATACTTGCTTTTCCCAGTGTTTTTTTTTTTAAAAAGAAAACAAATGATCAGATGAGAGAAATGAGGGGCACAGCTAGCTAGACTAATGGCATTGAACAAATAGGCTTGGATTCGAAGAAGAGGAGAGAAGGAATCTATATCGGGAAAGGGGGGATGAAAAGTATGTTGTTTGATAACTATAAATGGTCGTTGAAATAATCCAAGTTACATTGGCATCTCGAGGGCAACATTGCCTAATAACATGCGAGATTTATTTATATTATTACCATGACAAGACATGCATTATGCAGGTTAAACCTCGTAATTGGGACACTTAAGTGGGATTCAGCTCCATTCAACACCAATACCAAATTAAACCAATGTGTTTAAATTTTAGAGTGATGCTTTGGATTTTATGTGAGGATAAGAATTTATAAAATTTTAATAAGAGTAAATTTAAATAGTTTTAAAAATAAAAATAAATTATTAATAAAAAATATAAAAATATTTAAAATATATAGTAATCTAAACTTTTTGGGTGAGTACCTCACTCATCTCACTTGGATCAATCCCTGATGTTGTAGGCGTAAAAAATATTGTTTTACCTTTTTTGTTAAATTTAATTACTTAATGAGTTTTTCTATTAAATGTATTAATAATATTATTTCTTTAAAAAATTAAAAGTATTATTTGCAGAGACGTTATCACATGTTAACGTATCACCATAATAAATTAAAAATCTCACATCAATATCATCGTTAATTGTTTAACAATGAGTGACCAAAATATGATCAAAATATAATGTTAGGTGTGATTTAAAAAAATTAATAGTTGGTGACCAAAATAAAAAGGTGGGTGGACAAATAAATAATTTATCCTAAGGTCTAATTAATATATATATATATATATATATATTACGATTCACTTACATCATGTAAAGCTAATACGTTTTACACTAATTTATAGCGATTACATTTAAATATATAAAATATTTAAAATTAATTAAAATTTATAACTCGTAAATAAATATTTCTTTAACTCGCCGTAAAATAATATTTTTCCTTTTAAGGTTAATATTTAGGGCATAGAATTTATGATTTAAGGTTTGAGTTTGGATTTAGAGGCTTGGGGTTTGAAAGATTCATGGTTTGGGTATGATGTTTAGGGTCTTGGGTAAAAAAGATAAATGAGTTAAAGAAATATTTGTCTATGAGTTATAAATTTTAATCAAATTTGAATCATTTATTTATTTTTAATCTAATGGCTATAAATTAGTGTAAAACTTATTAGTTTTACCTAGTATCAATCTAATGGATATATATATAGGTTAAAAAGTAATTTAATAGTACAATATATTTAACATATAGAGTTAGGATTCACTTACACAATGTAAAATTCTTTGATTTTACACAGACATAGGATCGTTGGATGATTGAAAATAGATAACTAGGATTGATTCCTTCTTTTTTTCAGTAAATATATTTTTATTTCCTAATGTTAATCTCAGCCATATATTTTTACTAATCCAACGGTCTTAACTCTATACAAAACTAAGAGTTTTCGTTATGTAATAGGATTATATCCCTTTAACATATATTAAACATAAAATTTTGATTGGACGCATGAGTTATTCGGATCAATTATGAAGATACTTAATTCCACTTCCTCGATAATAAGATATCCTCGAGCTCTATTCAGTGATTATTAAAATGAATTCAAATTTTGTGTCTGAACTCGAATGAGTAGTTTGTTAATATAAATGACTCGTTTACTCCTTACATTTGATCCCATTATTAAAAAAAATCAAAATATCATTTTTATTTAATCCTAATATATATCTTAAAATTTTGACTTAATATATTTTACTTTTTTTCTCTTAAAGAAGTAAGTTTATTTTACATAAAATTGTACTATCTAGAACAAGAGTAAGAAATAAGTTTAGGGATTCACGGTATGCTTTCATCTTCCTTTGTGTCTTCTCTCGTTATATATTATTTCACTTATTTATAACAATTCCCTCTATTAAAGAGTTATTTATGATAATTATATTTTAACTTATGATTTCAGGAATCAAATATTAAAATTTAAAATTGTTAACATTTTTTTAATCTCATTATTACAATTTCATAATTTCAACTTTGTAATGATGAAAATAGCTTTTATTTGTAATTCATGAAAGACAAGACCTTTTCTCTTATTTTCTCCTTTTTTTTTCTCTCTTTTTGTTATGTTCTGATAGATATAGTTGGTGGAAGAATTTGTTGGAATTTTTGTTGGTATGGCCATCCGACCCCTTCATCGGCCACTGTGATTTAATGGTGTTTTCTCTCAATTCAATCCACTATTCCTATGCTGTTGGCGTTCATTCTTTAATAGAGACCTATTCAAATTAGATTTTTTTTTAACTTTTAATCAATATAAAAAATAGATATTTTCTTACTTTCAATTAAATTAGGTTTCTTAGTTTCTTCGAATTTCTCTTAGTTTATATTGTCATTAATGTGAGTCGGGTAGAATTAGATTTAAACTCTAATAATCTTCACATTAACACAAATTCTAAAAGTACAAGGAGTTCGAGACAAAATTTTAAAATTTTATGAAACACTCAAACTCAACAAAGAAAAAATCAATTCTTCACATCGATGAACAAATTCTCCACCTCGAGAATATATTCTCAATCTCTCCCAGAAACCCTTTAAAAGAGTATTTTTCAACAATGATTGTCAACTGAATCCAAGCCTTGCAAAAACTCGGATGTATGGGATAACTTAGTCTTCACTTTGGAAATGTCATCATAAGTGTCAACTTTGCTCACAGCTGTATCACCAAGCAATATCATGCACAACATGATCCTGCTCAGTAATGACAATCCTTAGTCACCCATAATGCTTTAACAACAAGCGAGAGAAATAAATAATTAAACATAGAGACCATAAAGAGTACAAATACATGATATCTTATGTATCTCATAACTCGATATATATATATACAAAAACACGATGTATCCTAAAAGATTCTCTCAACATCCCTATAAAATCATTTCTACAATTGAAACCCACAAAATTACAAAGACTACAAAAATGATTGCATCTCTATAAAATAATTATCTTATAAATCTAAAGGTTAAGATTTAATCTATATTTATATAGTCAAATACTTGGTCATCAAGAAATCTAATTTCAAAATATTTCTTGTCTAAAATAAGCATTTACTTAAACTTAATTATCAAGAAATCTCTAATCACTAGAATTACAATAAAATCTAAATTAATTACCAATTAAAATTTGAGTTAATATCTAGCGATCTCCCCATTGACACAAACTTCATGTGTGCATCAGTCTTCAAATCTTCAACAAAATTCAAAAGACTTCTAGCCTAAAATAAGCATTTACTTAAATTTAATTATCAAGAAATCTCTAATCACTAGAATTACAATAAAATCTAAATTGATTACCAATTAAAATTTGAGTCAATATCTAGTAATTTTCCCATTGACACGGACTTCATTTCTGGATCAGCCTTCAAATCTTCAACAACTTTAGTTCTTATGTAAGTTACAAATCCATTGAAGTATTGTTGCTAGGTCTTCAAAAACTTTAATTCTTACGTAATATATGTTGTAGCATCGCTGGATCGATTTAGAATTACTCCTCTACAAATGAAAATTCCTTATAGTAAAAATTTCTTTTGCATGTCTCCAAAATTTCTAACAAAACACGCATCACTAAAATCCTTCAAAACTTCACAACTTAGACTATAATTATGATATCACTTGTTAGGAATTTATAAGCAAAAATAAAAAAAATGTGAGATCAACACAGAAATAAAACCAGTGCAAGAGACGATATTTAATGTGGATCGATCTTGTCTACCTCTATGAATGAGAGAAACAAATAATACACTATAAACATAGATATCACAATGAGTACAAGCACATGATATTACATGTATTTCTTAATCCTAAAGGTTATGACATACCTCATATTTATAGTGTCAAATACTTGGTCACCAAGAAATTTGATTCCATAAGACTTCTTGTCTAAAATAAGTATTTACTTTATGTGGTGTATCATTTATACCATTGAACTTTCAATTTCTTCAATTATAGAATTGAACTTTGGTTTTGACTTCAATAATGCCAATGACCATTAAATTTTAACGACACAATGACGTGAATAGCTCTTTTTGTCATTGTAATGACATGGATAAAATGATGTCATTTTGGCAATGTTTATTGATGCCTAAAATTACATCGTTTTGGACACTAAACTATAGGGGTGTATCGATTTTGCTACTAAAATTTTAAACAATTTAGTTTTGGGAACTTTACTTTTCCAGTTAAGTTCGGCAACCAATCATTGCCCATCCCATATCATCTTTCACTACAAGATCGGTATCAAAGCATTTATATTTCACTTCTCTTTCTTCTCCTAGGATTGAGTTTCCATGAAACTCACTCAAAATCAACGAAAAATCATTTAAAAGTTTTATGTGCTAATACTTTGATCTCTTTCGATGACCATCCTATAAGGTTAGTTTTGAGAAATATTGTTCTTCTTCTCGAAATAATTCTTCTCGTCATTCGAATTTTCAAACAAACATTTCAAATTTGTTAAAATGGTATATTTTTGTTTAATTTCGTCGATTTTTAGTGAGTATCATAGAAAATGAATCTTACGAGAAGAAAGATGAGTAAATTACAAACGTTTTAACACTGATCTTGTCAAGAAAGACGAATGGTGATAGCTGGTGATTAATGGTCGAAAAAGTACAATGTCAAAAATTGAATTGTTTGAAACTTTAGTGACAAAATCTATCACATCCCTAAAGTTGCATGCTTATTATATTGTTTTAGGCATCAATAACAACACAAAAATGATGTTGTTCTGTCCATTTACCACACCGTTTGGGTTTTAACAGCCTAGTGACATAATTGAAGTTAAAATCAAAGTTTGATGTTATAATTAAAAAAATTAGAAGTTTAATGGTATAAACAATACACTACCTAAAATTTAATATTATATGATATAATTCCCCCTTTACATATATTGAATAGAGTTTTATAATCTTCACTTTCGACCAATTATGCTTTAGATCTCTATGAGCAAACACATTTGGTCGACCAATTATGCTTTAGATCTCTATGAGCAAACACATTTGGTCGACCAATTATGCTTTAGATCTCTATGAGCAAATACATTTGGTCGGTTAGTCAAATTGTTCATATTTGTTTCCACGTATTCTCTTAGGTCATGAGTTCTAGATATACTAAGAGTACTCCCTTTTTTTTTTCTCTTAGAGCCCTCTTTTCCCTTCCTTCTAAATAAGATTAGGATCATATTTATAATTTATAAAAAAAGAAATTGGATCTCAATCGTGGTATCTTAAAGCTCTTTATTAACCCCAAATATGAATTTTTTTAACTTTCTTTCTATTGTGTTGTAAATATCATATCCATTTATGTATTCCCACGCGGCTTCAACCATTCGATAAAAACTATGCACTATTTTTGCATATTTTAATTACTTAACTCTATAAATCAATGCTCATGTTTTCTAATGTGAAGAAATACGAGAAACTAAGTTGGCTACTTCAAGGGTTTTGATTGTTTTTGAAAACCAGCAACAGAAACTAATCAGATCTTGATTACAGTAACGAAATAGAGAAGAAAGAAGCGTACACGCGAATGTGTTCAATGGGGCTCTAGCTTTGCTGTATTTTCAAGAAGAAAATGGTTGCGGAAAAAGGGAAAATGGTAGCTGAAGTTCTTTTCGCTCTCGAGAATCAAAGGCCTCGGCAATGTAAAGAATCCACCAAAACCTGTTCTCGTGAACGAAGTTAGTTAATATTTTTTTTTTATTTTTTTAATAAATGACACGTTCTCAATATTGGCTGACATGGGAACAGCTGGCATCCACGTAAGCAGAACTTAACGATTCTGTTAATCAACACAATCAAAGGTATAAAATGATACAACAATTAAATAACTTCGAGGGCAAAATTGATGCGAAAATACGATAGAGACGAAATCGATAAATTTGGTCTACTACAGGGGCAACTCTGATCCTTAAGCCAAAAAAAAATATTAAGATATTTAATACATTGTATATAAAAATACTAAAAGAAATAAATTAGTTTAAGGATCGAATTGAGTGAAAAAAGCTTAAAGACCATATTATCTTTTTACAAAAGTTCGAGAGTTTTAGTTATCATTAAGTCAAAAAACTATTGTTAAAATGATTTGAATATGCATAAGTCAATTTAAAAATCTAGATCATGTGTTTTCTTATCTTTCAAATTTTCATAATAACTTTAATGAAAATAGTGAAACATGTCTTTTATGTTTGAGAATTTAAGTTTCGATTTTTAAAATATGTCTGCAAGTCCACTTACTACTAGCTAAGCACTGCTTGATATAATCTAGCAAGAATCTCGAACACTATGCATAATAGATTGTCTTCTTTTTTATAGGAAACCTATGTGTGTATGTATGAAAATGTTATTTCGAACAACATGTGTTCTTCAAATAATACGTGTTCAAAATTTCAAGTAATTTTTGACTTGTAAATGGTGTTATTTTAACAACTCGATTGGGGAAAAAACAATGGAATACGAAAAATGAAATTATTTTAGTGGAGAAGAAAAGGGTACTAATAAAGATTCTAAAAACAATTCTTAAATTTAAGCTTAATTTTATTTTAATATACATTAGTGAATAAGTTGATATGAAAAATACAATCTATATCTATAAATGATATGAAAAAATATTGATGTGATTACTTTTAATCAATTAGATCATCGATGACATGATAAAAGGTCGATGAAATAATTTTATGATTTTGCCGTTACGTAACTACGAAAGAGGCCAGACAAAGGCGATAACAGAAACGAGAAACGGGGCAACATTTGTCGTTCACGCCCATTGTTTGGTCCCTACAGAGAAATCCCAATTCATTTTTCACAGTTACGGTAGCTGCACTGAATTAATGAGCTTTGATGGAGGATACAGATAACCAACTGCAAATACATTCCAGTCTCGGCCTTTTTCATAGGCTTCGACTTTAAACTAGCAAAAGCAACAAACCAAAGGAGAAAGCTTAATCGTACGTCAATGGAGGAAAGCATAGCATAGCTAAGGGACACTTTCAAAAGCGGGAGAACTAAAAGTGTTTCATGGAGGATGAAACAGCTCAAGGCTCTACTTGACCTCGTAAATGAAAACGAGGACTCCATTTTCAAAGCTTTGGCTCAAGATCTGGGAAAGAGTCCAGTTGAATCATACAGAGATGAGGTGATGATGAAATATATATATATATATATATTGATTTTGAATTAATTCCATGCAGGTAGGGATTGTAAAGAAATCAGCCACCTATAGTTTGAGCTGCTTCGACAAATGGGTAGCATTTAAGAAGGTTTTATTGCAACTCTGAATCAATCCTCTCATCTTTCTTTTTTTCCTTTTTTCCCGTTACTCTTACAGCCAATTCTTGTCTTTGTTTATGGGGTCCAGGGTGATTTGCCGTTGCTTTTATTTCCTTCAAAAGCAGAAGTGATACCTGAACCTCTCGGTGTAGTTCTCATTTTCTCATCTTGGAATTTCCCAATCAGTGAGTTTTTTTAGCCAAAAATTGTGCAGACTGTTAATGATTTTTAAGTTTTGATGGAAGATGAAATGCCATGTCCCCTCGTACAGGGACCTAGGCAGGATTTTGTGTTAGTAAACGAACTTATATATAAGTTGTTCTTGCTACAGAGGTGGCATTGGATCCATTGATCGGAGCAATATCTACCGGGAACACCGTGATGCTAAAACCATCAGAACTGGCACCGGCATGCATGTCTTTTCTCATTCAAGCCATTCCTCAATACTTGGACAACAAAGCCATTAAGGTCATTGGTGGTGGAGCAGATGTAGGTGAACGACTAATTGAGCTGAGATGGGACAAAATATTCTTCACCGGTAATAACTTTCCTCCACTTTAGAAACATACCGATGTATCCGACGATCGGAATCAACAAAAGTTTCTGCTTTTGTTCTATCAGTAGGGAGTCCACGAGTTGGTCGCTTGATCATGACCGCAGCTGGAAAACATTTGACTCCGGTTACTTTAGAGCTTGGTGGCAAATGCCTTGCCATTGTGCATAATACTCTCTCCAACCCTTCAAAAGCAAAGGTCATTTTTGACTCATTATATGTATCATTTAAAGCCTTATATATGTATAGATTAAGAGGATCAATGGTTTGATGCCTGTAATTTGGTTTGTGGTATCAAGGTGACTGCTAAAAGAATTATACGGGGAAAGTGGGGGCCTTGCACTGGACAAGCCTGCATTGCAATAGATTATGTGCTTGTGGAAGAGAAATTAGCTTCCACTCTGGTATTAACTATGGAATTTTCAATTGAACAGGGGATTGGAATTTCAATTTGAATTCATGGATTCTTTTTTTTCTTTTGGTTTCAGATTGTGATATTAATGAAGTGTATCAAGAGGTTTTATGGTGATAACCTCAAAGAGTTGAACAGCATCTCCAGAATTGTTAACAAGCACCAGTTTCAAAGATTGGTTGATCTCATGAAAGATCCCCATGTTGCATCCTTTGGCCCATTGCTTCCAATAATTACAGTGAGAGATTCTCAGCCTTAGTTTTCTTGTTAATTTCCATCCAGTAGAATTTTTGTTCTAAGGAAAGTCACCGTTGTTGTATAGGTAAAAACATTGAAGAAAGCATCGAATTCATCAACTCCAAGCCAAACCCTCTTGTTATTTATGCTTTTACTGAGGACGAAACCTTCAAGAAACGAATTTGTTGAAGAATCGGGTAAAGTAAAACGAAAGAACACAAGAATTTAACGAGGTTCAGCAATGTGCTTACGTCCTCGGTGTCTAGGCGGCACTAGAAGTTTTATTCAATGTCTCATAGGTTTAGGTTACATCTCTATTTATAATAAATAAACCCTAGTACATATTTACAAATATAATCATGTGCCGTACCGCGGGGCTATGCCCCCGCACCCCCAACCCACATAATCATAACCCCCACTACGAGACTTTCTTTCTACCAGTATATTTATGAGTCATACCTAACAAATCTCCACATTGGCAAATATCCTACCCCTTACGAAACATTCAATGTGGGTTTGGTTACCTTACTTCTTTAACAACTCGAAACATTCAACAAGTCTAAGCAATGCTTGAACTTTTTCTATCGTAACTGGCTTGGTGAACATATCAACGGCATTCTCATCAGTATGTACCTTCTGAAACAAAATCTCTCCAGATGCAACCAACTCTCTGATCTTGTGAAACCTTACATCAATATGCTTAGTTCTAGCACGATATACCTGATTCTTAGCCAAGTAAATAGTGCTTTGATTGTCGCAAAGCAACTGAACTCCACCTTACTGAACACCCAACTTGTAACATCCCGAAATCCGGGTCAGTGATTAAAATGATAATTTTTGAAATTTGGTTATAAAAGTAGAATAGTTAAATAGTTTAATGACTTATTGGAAATATAGTTGAAGGTTGTTTGGTATTTATTGAATGAATTAAAGGGTAAAATGGTCAATTGACAAGTAAGAAATTTTATTTCCCTTTATAAGATAAGGGAACCACGTGGAAGATGAGAGATTTCTCCAGAGTTCTCTTCTTCTCCTTTCTTCTTCTTCTTCACGTGAAGCCATAAGCAAAGGTAAGATCTCTTGTTGGTTGATATTTAGTTGAATTTAAGATAGGGTTTTGATCATTAGATGATAATTAAGCTTAAGGAAAGCTTAATTTATCTTAAAACCATAAGATAAAGGAGTCAAGAGAGATTAAAGATTAAAAGTTTTTAAAGGAAATCTTGAATGAAAGTTGATAAGTTAAATTGGAAGTTAAATTTGACTTGTCAAGGGTCTAATTAAGAAGTTAGAAGCCATAGAATTGGAATTAAAACATGTTACACAGTTGGTATAATTCTTGATTTGCATATGAGGAATATAATTTTGAAGTTAAAGATGGTTTATATGGATATAAATTGGTTTAAGCATGTGTATATGAGTTAATAACATGAAAGGGGATGAAAGATGAAGTATTTGAGTGGATTTTCGTGCACAAAATGGAATTTTGGGCTAGTGTGCATCGGTACACATTCAACCTGTACGATTCATCAAGGGTAAATTTCCAGAAATTGTTCAGTGTGTATCGATGCACAGGAAGTGCATCGTTGCACCCCTTAAAAATGGAAATATCGAATGCAATTAGTGCATCGATGCATAGGAAGTGCATCGATACACCCCCTTAAGATTAAAACATCGAAGGTGCTTTGTGTATCGATGCATGGGTAGTGCATCGATGCACATGTTAAGGGATGCATCGATACACTGTAGAATGTATCGATGCACTTTAATGGGAAATGGAATAAATTGTTATTTCAGTTTATGAAATGATATATTAAGTATATCAAATGGAATATTGATAGTATAAATACATGATTGTGTAGATATCGATCGAGAGCAAGTTCTGTAATGATTGAAAGGTTAGAATTGATCAAGAAGAGAAAGAAAGCCATAGGAGTAATTGATAGCAAGTGAGGCCAAGGTGAGTGCATCTTATTTTAATATAGGATTATGTGGAAATTGGACTTGCGATAAGTCTAATTCCTATAGTTGTAGTGCATTAAGTCATGAATATAAGTATGTGAATTTCCTGATTTGTATGTATTCATGATTATATGTATTGATATGTTTTTGTATGTGCTATATGATTTATGTAAAAATACTATTATGTGATATATGAAAATGTAATGTAAACTACATATAAATGGTGAGACATGTAAATATATGTACATAGAGAGAAATAATAGAATAAAATATAATTCATATAACAATGAAATATGAGACTATGTGAATACATGTCTATAAGATAGATTAGGTAAAAATAGCAGAATATGATATAAGTGAGTTTATGAGAAGCGATATGAACTGGGTAAGCATGTATAAAAGTTATATGAACAATAGAAACATGAATTGGGTAAGTACATAGTTAGGTGATCATTTATATGCATTAGTATAATAGAATTATATGATTTAATAAGAATTGAGATAAGCTAAATACGATTGACCATAGAATGAAATGAGAATAGTATATTAATTAGGAAGCTTGAACATAAGTGATAATACGAACATATAAGATAAGCTATAAGGGTAAAACTCATGTACTTGAATAAAATTATGACATATAAGGTATATGAAATTGAACTAAGTAAATAGATTAGATTAATATATATATAAGTGAAATGATAGAAATGATACATGTTTATAAGTATGTCATAGATTACATGATATAGGTAAATATAATAGAATGAAGTTTAAGCTATATGAGATTATATAAGTTATTAATTATGATATATGTGATTATGAGACTATATGTGAAATGAAATGAGTACATATTTATATGATGAGATGGTGAACTATATGAACATGTGAATATATGTCTATGAGAAGACATAAGAATAAGATATAAGCAAGGTGATATGAAATGTGAAATGACGTATAAAGTTAATATAAGTAGTGTAAAAGTGATCTACTTGATTATATGTATATGTGATCCAAGTTATGTGACCTAATATACGTGAAAGGTGAAAGTGAATTATGTGTCTATGTGAATACGTGAAATGACATAAATAATAATGCCCATGTTATGTGTCATGAGAGCTAGGGATATAGTTGGCATGCCAAGAGTTGAGGGTCTACGCGGTCCTTCGGGACATATATGTATTCCTTGGAACATGTGTGATGTCTTTTGAGACACATACTTGATCCTTTGTATATGTATATGATTCTTAAGGAATTTTTTACGTGGTCCTTAGGGACATTTTATATGGCACTTCGGTGCAATTCTACGCAGCACTTCGGTGCAATTCTACGTGGCGCTTTGGTGCATTTATACGAGCTGTGGTGATAGAATTAGTGCACAGCCTCAATAGACTCACATATCTATAGTTCTCAAAAGTGTACATGAGTTAAACAAACAGATAACAATGAAGATGGTACTGGTGAAGTATATGTTTTTGTGATATGAATTGTATTATATGACTGTTATAATGATGTGTGTATGGTTTGAATAAGTCATATGTTGATGAAAAGTATGATTAAAGGATATAAATGATAATAATGTGGATAATAGAATATGAATAATGATGGAAATAATGTGTGATGTGTATATGTGAACATTATATTATATATAATGGTTGTGTGACATCATGAAGTAATATGTTCATACATGTTTAAGCATTTAGAGTTTCGTTTATAAATTTAATGCCTCACTAAGTCATAGACATAGCGTGTGATTGTTTCACACGTAGGTTAAAGAAGCGAGAAGGGAAACGAATAAGAGCAAGACAGGTCAGCATATCCTTTACAAAATTTTAGATCAGAAAATAGATGATTTAAATGTGTTTGGTTAATTTGAATATAGTTGGCATGTAATAATTGATTGAGTTGAATATGCTCTGATCGATTTTGATTATTTTGGTCAATTTATATAAATAAACCGCTTTTATTTTAATGAAAGTTTTATATTTTCTTTGAATTTTGTCAAGAGTCAAAGTTTGTAAAGTCAATGTGACACCTCAGACTTGTATTCGGGTCGGGTACGGGTTGGGGGTGTTACATTTAATGGTATTAGAGCTAAGGTTTAGCCGATTCTAGGCTTAAACCGAAGTCAAATGAGTTTTAAAAATGTGTATATGCCAACATAAAGTGAAACTTTCTGATCTGATAGTGTAAGGAGTGTGTTGTCTTGCTAATAGAATTAGATTGCTAAGTTGTAATAGAAGTATGATTATGATAATTCCGAAATAAAGTGAAAGGTGATATTCCTGATTGTTGTAGCTATTCACCTGCCCTGGCCAAGCAGGATGAAGAGCGGACACCTCAGAAAGTGCCTCATAAAATCAAAGTTGATTTCAGTAGTCGAAATCATATTAGAATAATGATAGAAGATTTTCCTAGTTTTGAATCAGAAAAGTGATGTGAAGTATTCTTATTATTCCTTGGATAAGATAGAATATGGTCAATAAGTGTTACCATAAGAGTGTTAAAAGATCAAATGATGCAGTGAGAATTGGTAGAAGAGTTCAAGAATAAGTGTATTAGTGACAAGCGTATAAGATGTATAAAGTCAGAGCTTATGGGTTTGAAACGAAGGGATAATATTGTGTATAAGCAAGAGTGTGTATATGATAAGGATTTGCAGTTAAGATGGAAAGAGTTAGCAATTGGCTAACCAGAGTATGTGAAAAAAATGTATTGGAATTATAAGATTATAAGATATTGTCAGGTTAAGATAAAAGATATAAAGTGGATCTGGATACAAGTTAAGGATTGATCAGAAGAGTTTAAGAATGTGTATATCGATGATCAACTTATAAGACAAAGGAAGTCAGAATGTTGAGTTTGAACAGCAAAAATTACCGGATGTATGAGGATAGATGTGAAATTGATAAGTTAAGTAAACTAATTTTTAAATAATTTCAATTGGAAATGGTGTATATGATTGGTTGACTAGGGCTTGTGCCTAGATTGGACAGATGTTATTGACTAGCTGTCAGAGTAAAGGTGATAGAGTTATAAGATTGGAAGAAAGGATAAAGTTGAATT